CTTCGATTTCAGAAGAATTTGGAACGTCCTAGAGGTGATTTGAAACAGTTTTTTAGAATTTTTTTTTTCATATAGTTGCATATTTTGCTTAGGATTTCCCCTTTCTATAAAAATTTTGAGATTAAGAACTAGAATATTGTTTTGCAAGTTGGCTGTACTTTCAGTTCTGTTTAGTGCCTCTGAATCAACATGGAAACTTGAGACGTTGTATTATTACCCGAAATTTTTGAGATTTTGAAGGGTATTGTGCAAGGATTTTCTCTGAGGAAGAGGAGTGAAGCAAGAATGAAGGAGAACTGTATTAATGGTGGGATCAAAAGACGGAAATTGAAGAATTTGGGCTTGGATTTGAGCAAAAAATAAGTGGATTTTGATGTGAAAATGAATGGATGAGCTTGGTTTAGAGCTGGGAAATCGATTAACAAGGAAAAATCAGTGCAAGTTCTGCGCAAGAATTTGAAAACGGGAGACAATGCAAAAGCTGATGGTTGTGTTTCTTCTATTACTTCTTGACCTTCTATTTGTCATTCAGAGAACTGACACCAAGGCAAAATGCTGATTCAGAGGTTCTAAAACTTGACAAACATAAAATGATTCAACAAATTTGGATTTTTGGGGAAGAAGATGGGGGTGGTGTGAGGTGGGGTGGGTAAAAAATAAAGTTTTAACAATTTGGAATGGTATGTGACACGTATGAAAAATTTGGATTTAATTTGTAAAAAAAATAAAAGGTTTAGGTATTGAAATTACAATTACTCCTTTTTTTTTTTACCGACAGATAGAAAGATCTTGACAGTGGATGGTTTTTCACACAAAATGTTTCAAACATGATGATTTTCTACGATTTCCAATAGGTAGAGAGATATATCGCATATGTAAACATTTTTAGAGAGGTTTTCTATTATTAATCCAAAAATCTTCTAGTTCTTCAAGTAATATGTATTCAAATTATTAATAATTTTTTTTTTGTTGGTCCGATGATGATAAACCGACCATGCCAAATAATAAAATATTGGATTAAGCCATTTGTACCCTTTGGTCTACCCTTTGGATTACTCGGGCCCACGCCTCCACTCACATGGGGGTCGGGTCCCATGCATT